ACAAGGTGTAGAGCTGGATGAACACAGTAGGCCAAGCAGCATCACAGGAGCAGGAAGGCTGACGTTTCGGGCCTAGACCCTTCACGTCAGCCTTCCTGCTCCTATGATGCTGCTTGGCCTGCTGTGTTCATCCAGCTGTACACCTTGTTATCTTAGAACAGGTGGATGAAGTGGTTAAGAATGTAGCTGGGACACTTGCCCTTATTAACCAAGGCATAGAGATTAAGAGCAAGGAGGTTAGGCCAGACCGTAAAAAGTTAGTTAGGCCACAGCTGAAATATTGTGTGCAGTTCTGGAATCCAAATTATAGAAGGGACGTGATAGTGGAGAGGGTGCAGAAGAGATTTACCGTGATGCTGCCTGGGCTAGGAAGAGATTGGACATACTGGGGTGGTTTTCTTTAAAAGGAATGTGAGGAAAAGCTTTTTCACCAGAGGAAGGTGTGAAAATTGGAACTCACTGTCTATAAGGGTTGTGAAGGCAGAAACCCTCATACAACTTAAAAAGCATTTAGATGTGCACTTGCGATGCCAAACTGTTTAAGGCTATCTACCAAATGCTGGAAAATGGGATTACAATATTTAGGTGGTTGTTTTTAACTGCTGCAGACTTGATGGGCTGAAGGGCATTTTTCTTTTGCAAAGATCTCTATGACTAAGGGCAAGAGGTAACTTGATTGAAATATTAAGACCCAAGGAGGTCTTGACAGAATCTTGTGAAAACTCCTTAAAGTATGGGTCACTATATAAAAACGAGAGACCAACCATTTAGGACAGAGGTGAGGAAAAAGAATCTTCATAGAGAGTTGTGAGTCTTTGACACTCCTTTCCTGAAAAGGTGGTGGAAGCAGAGTCCTTGAATATTTGTAAGAGAGTGGTATTTAGATTCTTGATAAGCAAGCGGGTGAAACCTCATTGGGGGAGTAGGCAGCAATAAGCAGATCAGCTATGATCTTACTGAATGGTGAGGCAAGCTTTAGGAGTCGTGTGGCCTACTCCTGGTCCTACTTCTAATGTCCGTCTGAATTAAGCTCGGTGATTTCGCTGTATTAATTTTGTAATGCATCCTTCGGTTACATTGATTGAGGGCTAATTCAGTGGTGGAGCACCGAAATGTTAGGTTTGTTTGTGTTGTTCCAGTTTAGGATGACATTCTTAAAAAAAAAAAAAATTCATGGGATGTGAGCACAAATGGCAGGACAAGCATTTAATGCCCTTCCCAAGAAGTTGTTGGGAAGCCAATGAGCTAACTTCTTGAACAACAGCAATCTAGATAAACACACAGCGATGTTAAAGAGAATGTTCCTATTTTTGAAGCAGTGAGAGTGAAGGAAAAGTGATAAATTTCTAAGTAAGAATAATCTGTGCCTTTGAGGGGAATTGTTGGCTGTCACTGCATTTACTGTGGATGGAGTGAATGTTTTAAAATGTGGATGGGCTGCCAATTAAAGGGACTATTTTGAACTGGATTGTGGCAAGCTTGTCAAATATTACTGGAACTGGACTCATCTAGACGATTGGAAGGTATTACATCACACTCCTGACTGGTGGACTAGCTTTGAGTTGTCAAAAGTCAATCCACTCATTGCAGAGTGCTCAGTTTTTGCCCTGATCTTATCGTCACAATGTCACTGTTACTTTGGCTAATTCAGTTCAGCTTCAGATTGCTGGAACTTCCTGCCCTTGCTGTTAGCCAAGCTATCGATAATTAAAAATTTAGCGCTGGTCATGCTCCTGTTAAAGTGCTTCACTAGCTGAAGGTCCATCTCTCAGATGAGACATTAAATAGGTCTCTGACCTATCAGATGGATGTTAAAGATCCTGTTATGTTATTTGAAGAAACAGAGGACTGTTCTTCCCTTTGTCATATTTATCCTAAGAACAACGTCCCTGCATCACGTTTTGGTTACTAATCCCATTGCTGTTTGTGAGATTCTGCTGTGTACAAATTGGCTACTGAATTTGCTATGCATCAAACTACTTAACTGGCTATAAAGTGCTTTGGGATGTTATGAGATTACAAAAGGCATTAAGGAAATGCAATACTTTATTTACGTCATTTTTTTAAAGCAAGTCTGAACTGATGTCTTGAGCTGAGTGGTTTTGGCAGAACCCAAGCATCCTCAGTAGAATTTATGTGCTGGCATTATTACTGAATCCTTCCAGTTATTTACAGGGAAAGCTCACAAAAGGCTCAGGGGAACCTTTATCTGCAGTTTTAAATTAACTGTAGTTCAAGTAAAATATTTCTTGGCAAAGTCATTTTATGTATTTATCAGGATGTAACTTTGTAATTCAGCAGTTATATTTTGTAATTGTTAGAGTATGCATTATAGTTATTATGTATCGTATGCATGTTTTGGAAGGTAAGAAGGAATTGGCAGAATAGAGTATTTGGTGCTGCCTGCCAGCTGACATACTTCAGTAGAACTGGCACTAAACAAGTGTATTTTGCTGTTGGAATTACCTCTGTTTTAGTTACTTAAATATGTCAACAAATACTATCTGAATGTTATGACATTGTTTAAATGTTGGCTGACTGTCATTATAAAACTGTAGCTGCAAACTGAATTGACAATAACTTGATCTGAAAATCCAAATATTTACAAAAACAGTAGTGTGGTAGAAAGTTTGAAAGCTTTACTTTATCATCATAGTAAATTGCACAGCAATGGCTGTTGGATATTTGTCCTGTATTGTTGCTGATTTCCAAGCTGTTAGGCTGCTGCCAGGGTAGTGGGCACACACCTCTCGGAAGTGGGAGCAGTGATCACAGATCATCTGAATATTAATCTAATTGAAAACCTTTCTAATGATGAATTCCCCAGTATTTTGATATGGCCCTCTTAGTGCCATATGTGTGCAGTCAGCAAGAACCTGGGTCTGAGGGATGCCTGTTCCTGGCTCCTACTGCCTGGGCTGTGCACTAACTTTGTCATGTGGGAATAAAATGAACCATTGCGACCCCACATGGATGGTATAATCTTTGTCCTAATGAATTTTGGGAGCATGACTGAGAGATCCCACTCAGCCCACCCACTGGCTCCTGGAAGGAGACAGTCAAATAGAAGTTCAAAGCAGCTATCTCCTTCACAGCCACCAGGAGAGAAAGGCCTCCCGATCCTGCATCCCACATGTTCTGTTCTAGTATTTGCTAAATGTCCGTCACAGTGTCCTGGGACATATGGAGCCTGGCTAGCACTGCACTTTGCTCATCCCCAGGAAATGGAGTAGGGGCCAAAAAACTCTGGGTGTTCTGTGGACCCCACACATCCTAAGGGGCTATGAGCTGTCACCTCTCCTTTAGCTGGATGCTGCTCAGTTTCTGTGACAGTCTGCTGCTGGTCCTGGGTTTGCCATTGGTGCTGATTCTGTTGAATCTGCCTACATGCTCTTAGGGAGACAGTTACAGTGAGCAAAATGTCACCTGGAGTTTCAAAATTCAACTTTTTCCCCTAAAGAAGCATGAACATCAATATTATAATGGAATTTATCCTGTTACAATGACTTTTCTAGCTTTCAAAACTGAAGTAAGTCTCTAGAACGAACAGTTCTGAAGAAGTCATACTGGACTCAAAGCATTAACTCTGTTCCTCCCTCCACCAATTCTTCCAGACCTGCTGAGTTTCTCCAGCATTCACTGTGTTTGGTACAATGAGTGGAATCTTATTTCTTACTTGTTTTGGGAGGGATAGCCTCATTTTGTAAATTTGGTCATTCTGGGAATGTTGATCACAACATAGAAATATAAGAATTAGGAGCAGGAGTAGGCTACTTGACCCCCTTGAACCTGCTCCGCCATTTAACAAGATCATGGCTGATCTAATTACTCCATGGTTGCCCTTAACCCTGACACCCATTCAGTTCCTTGCTGGTCAAGAATCTACTCTGCCTTAAAAATATTCAGACTCTACTTCCACCACCTTTTGTGGAAAATTTCCAAAGTCTCAGGAACCCATGAGAACAAAAGCTTTGGCAAATGAGGTTAAGGAGAATCCAAAGGGATTCTACAAATACCTTAAAGACAAAAGGGTAACTAGGGAGAGAATAGGGCCTCTTAAAGATCAGCAAGGCTGCCAATGTGTGGAGGGAGATAGGGGAAATACTAAATGAATATTTTGCATCAATGTTTACTGTGGAGAAGGATATAGGAGGTAGAGAATTTGGGTAATAAATAACAACATCTTGAAAAATGCCCATATTACAGAGGAGGAGGTGCTGGATGTCTTAACAAGCATAAAGTTGGATAAATCCCCGGGACCTGATCAGGTGTACCCTAGAATTTGGCAGAAGCTAGGAAAATGATTGTTGGCCCCCTTGCTGAGATATTTGTAGCCACATGTGAGCTGCCAGAAGACTGGAAGTTGGCTAATGTAGTGTCAATATTTAAGGTAGTAAGGAGAAGCCAGGGGACTATAGACCAGTGAGCCTGACATCGATGATGGGCAAGTTGTTGGAGGGAATCCTGAGGGACAAGACTTTCATGTATTTGGAAGGGCAAGGACTGATTAGGGAAGGTCAACGTGGCTTTGTGCGTGGGAAATTGTGTCTCATTAACCAAAAGGATTTTCTCATTACCAAAGTGATGACTAGTGCTGATGATTGCTGGACAGACCACTGGCTTACTCGCTACTGCAAATCTCTAAGTTTCTATATTTCTGAGCTTGGAAGAGAAAGAAGTAGAGTATATGCTAGTAAGGCTGGAGAAGTATCGGTTTGGCATAAAGATTGGCCTGGGCAATTTGGGCCAAAGTTCTGTTTCTGTGCATTAAAATTCTATCTAATTGTTTCTCCCAATAGGTTGGTTGGAAAATGGCTTTGCAACAGAAGTATAAGAGTATTAAACTTGCAACTTACATTAGCTAGTTAGCTTTTAGTATTCTAAGTAATGTAGATATTGAACTGATTCTTGTACCCAGCATAAATGTTTTTCTTTCTTATATAATCCTATATATATATTTTATTTAATCCTACTTTTTTCTCCAATGCATTCTTTTTTAGGATAAAATGAAGTATAACGTCTAGTCGATGCTCGTGCTGCTTAAGGGACTGTCATACAGGAAGGTTCACTTTTGGAAGGTAAGACTGTCCCTTTTAGTTTTTTTCACCTAGATTAGTGAAGGTTCTGCCTGCATCCATACTGAAGGTTCCAAACTCTGGGTGTCTGTACCCAAAGATCATGATATTTCAACATGACATTAGTATTTAACAAATATTTATTACAGTTATAAACATTTTCTGTGTAAATATCTGGTTGGATCGCAGAAACTGTCCTTTGCAAGTTAAGATTCAGGGTCACTGAGAATGTTTTAGTGTTCATGGATGGATCCAGGCCTATGTTTATATTTTCAGGAAATCCTCAAAACCACCACTGGTGGTCATATTGAGAACTATCAACATGCGCTCAATGAAAGTGAGTTAGTTTAATTGTCACTTGACGTGGGAAAACCTACCTGTCCATGCTGCGATAGGTATTATGGCATCCTTTATTAAATCAGAATTCAGATACAGTCCCCACTGTTTTATGGTGAGTTGTGTTTGTGTTATCACAATTTATCTCAAATACATGATGACCAGTTAATTACCGTAACGCCATTACTATAAAACAAAATGCTCATTCTATTCTCAGTTTTCATTTCAGTTATCTCACTTTACATTCTGACCTTTGGTTTTATTTAATTCTGTCAGTGCTTAGTACAAACTGTGTCCTGCAATATTTATATAGGTTGCAAGGATTTAAGTACTCAAATAGTAATGGAACATTGACAAAGTGCTACTAACATATTTACTAATGTTTGTTCTTGTATTCAGTCCATTTGTTGAGGTACAAAATAATGAGCAATTACAGTTGGTTCTACTCAAAACAAACAGGGCACTTGAGTTTCCACACCTGATAACTTTGAAATTGACATTAAAGCAAAATGGGTGTTATGGCTGTGTGAGTGACTGTTCATTTTAGATCTGGTGTTTAAGAGATAGGGACTGTAATAAATACACACCACAATGATTACCTATCGAGAGTGTAAGGAACATCTTTGACTCTGGTGCATGCACCAGTCACCTACCATTGGTTGCCCTACTATAGAATTTCCTCCCGGAACCTTTGGCTGCTCTCATCACCTTTTATATCCTACAAGAAATCTATGTGTTCATCTTAGCCTTAGATAAACTGGTCTAATAGCTCTTTCTTTCCTTTGCCATCCTGTTTATAGCTTCGAAGCATTTTGTTTCTCTGTTGAAAAAAAACAAACCTATGAAAATTATTTCATCAAGAATCAACTTAAACAACATACAAAATGTTGTGATACTGTATTGATTACTAGTTATGTTTTGAGGTATAAAATTAAATATTGCTTTGCCAAGATATAAATTTACAGTATTGCTGCAGGGAAGATGCTTTTACTAAAATAAAACAAAACAAAGAACTGTGAATACTGGAAATCTGAAACAAAAATAGAAATAGCTGGAAAACTCAGCAGGCCTGCCAGCACCTGTGGACAGAAAGCAGAGTTAACGTTTCGAATCCAGTGACCATTCTTCAGAACAGACCAGCTGAGTCTCTCCAGCAGTTTCTATTTTCATTTCAGCTGCATTTACTAGCCTGCAGGTTTTCTTATTATTATTATTTCGTGTCTTTACATTCTTGCCTGCTTTTTGCTTCAGTGAAAATGAGAACTAAGTGCTGACAACCCATACTGGCTGACTTTGCAACAAGTGAGTTTATAAGACTGGAAATTATTCCTTGGCTGAAAGAAAGGTGAAAATCAGACTGGTGGAGAAATTTCTCCTGTCAATAATTTCACCTCAAAACACCAGTGACAAATGGGAAAATTAGTAGCAGGATGCATCCACTCCAAAACATTCAAATCCATTTGTCTTGATTCATAGAATCATAGAATCCCTACAGTGTGGAAACAGGCCCATTGACCCAACAAGTCCACACCGACTGTCAGAGCATCCCACCCAGACCCATCCCCTGTAACCCACCTAATCTACATCTCCCTGAACACTACAGGCAATTTAGCATGGCCAATCCACCTAGTTTGCACATCTTTGGACTGTGGGAGGAAACCGGAGTACCCAGATGAAACTCAGACATGGGGAGAATATGCAAACTCCACACAGACAGTCGCCCAAGGGTGGAACCAAACCTGGGTTTTTGGCGGTGTGAGGCAGCAGACAATTGCAGTTGTTCGTTAGCTCGGCAAGCTGGTTGCTCTGTGGTGCGCAGACGTTTCATTACCCTTCTAGGCAACATCATCAGTGCAACCTCTAATCAAAGTGTTGTTGTTCTGCTTCCTTCTGGATTTATATGATCCTCTGGTGTGATCGTTTTGTTGCTTCCGGTTCTGTTGTTTCAGCAGCAGTCTGTATATGGGGTCTGTTTCTATGTATTTGTTAATGGAGTTCTGTGTTGTGAGCCAGGCTTCCAGAAATTCCCTTGCATGTCTGGTGTTCGCTTGTCCCTGTCGAACTGATGGCCTTTATTGTCTGTGTGTATTGAGACAAGTGAATATTGTTTTTTTACTGTCCTACATCAAAAATATATCAGAAATGACTACCTGACTCATAAGACTGCATTCGATCATGATTGCACACAAACTGACAGCAAAACTGTGCCAAATGTTATCAAAGACTAAAGAACCCATACTGACAGTAAACAAGACCAACGTGATTTACAAAATATCATGCAGCGAGTGCAATAAACATTACATTGGACAAATAAGGAGGAAACTGACGACCAGGATACACAAACACCAGCTGGCAGTAAAAAGACATATTCACTTGTCTCGATACACACAGACAATGAGGGCCATCAGTCGACTGGGACAAAGTGACCATACTGGGACAAGTGAACACCAGACATGCAAGGGAATTTCTTGACACCTAGTTCTCAACATGGGACTCCATTAACAAACATAGAAATAGACCCCATATACAGATCGCCACTAAAACAACAGAACCAGAAGCGACAAGACTATCACACCAGAGGATCATATAAATCCAGAAGGAAGCAGATCACAGACGCTTTGATTAGAGGTCGCACTGATGATGTTGCCTGGGAGACTAACAAAATGTCTGCATACCACAGAACAACTGGCTCAGCGAGCTATCAAACAACTGCATCCACAACCCAAGCTACAAATTTTTCGATAAGACATTTGTACAATTAAAATAAACAGCATAATTTTTTCGCTATTGATCTAGGTCAACCTTAAGTTCTGTTTTGAAATACTGGAGCAGGTGAAAATATTACTGGTAGCATTTTGTAATTCTGATTAACAGTACTGAAAATAATTGACGTATTAAAATATGCTGCTTTATAATGTCATCTATTTTTAAAGAAGTGCAGTTCAATTAAAATAAGCTGCAAGATCGCTGGTTCTGAATACTTTGCAAAGTTGAATTCAGTGCAGAAGAGAAATGGAGATAATTGGACACTAGGGACTCTTACAAGTCTTGCTGAAAAAAATTGAGCTGACCCAAATAGGATCAGTTCAGATGAGATGGGTTAAAATTGAGCCTTATAATCAAGTAGCCTGTGGAAAGTAGCTCAAGAGGAATGGATTTTATGTACAAGATCTTGGGGGATGATGACCAAGTAACTGCATACCTTTGTGACATCGGTGTCATACTTTATATTGGATTTGCCTTTTCACTAGTTTTTCATATTTTTTTCCAACCTGTAATCTCTATCAATGAAATTGTTCTAAATTGGTGAAACAGACATCCATCTGCATGATCACTAACGACTTTATTTGAAAGAATTTGATCTATTTTGTGATAAGGAAATTACCTATAATTTACCTATTACTTCTCAAACAATAGCTTGAGTTGGACAAAGACTTGTGTGTGAGCCACATTTCAGACGAAATTAAACACTGGCTTTTGAATTCCAAACATTTTAAGTGTTAAATATCTAGTGCTGTAACATAGTACTGTGGAGGTTGTGGGCAGACTAGTGGTACCTGCAAGTGAAAAGAGAGAGAGAGTGTCACGGCCAACGCTTAGAAGCGGTGCGCAATGAATAACACAAAAAGAAGGGTTAATATGAGAGATATTGCAGGCAATAGTGAGAGTGACAGAGCATGAGGGTGGGTGTAATTGTGGAGAATGAGTGAGTATGAGGTCAGAGATGAGAGTGAGGCACTTATCCTTGCATAGCGGAGAAGGTTATTGAACTTCTTATGGTGCTGCAGGTTGTTCCTCCAGACTGTGGAGATGACACTGACCTGAATGGCAACCTTGGACCAGATTGCCAGGGTCTGGTGTCATGGCCTCCTCTGCCAACCCTCCAGGAAGAGGATTACTCCTCATTGCATCACCCCTTGATTAGGACTTCCAGGTCTCTGTTGGAGAATCGTGCTACCATCTTCTCCTATTCTGACAACTTTAGATCCTTGGTGACAAGATGGGGCCAGCATTGAAAATGAAGGATACCATAGGGATGGGCTATGTTAGGTCCCACGGCAGAAATCTCTTTAGGAAACTCGATGCAACTTGGACTTAGCCAAAAACATATAAGATTCAGCCCATACACTCATAGATATTTACAACTCAATCGGAGGCCATTCAACCCATTGTATTCACACCAGTCAACTCCGATTTGATGTCACCAATCCCATTCTCCAGTTTTTGGCCCATAGCGCTGGAGATTATGGCATTACAAGTAAATATGTAAATATTGCTTGAATGTTATTAGAGTTTCTGACTCAACTACCCTATGAGTTAACAACTTTGTCCTCAACCCTCACCTTAGTATTCTACCTCTCATTTTAAATCTGACATACCCCCCTTATTGCTGTCTCTACTAACTATAAAAACATGACTTTTCAATCACCCTATCTATGCCCCTTATAATCTTATCCACCTCTTTCAGGTGCCCCCTGAAACTGCACTGCTCCAAGGAAGACAGCCCTAGCCAATCCAATCTTCCCTGCTTCCAGCCCAGGACCCATCCTGGCAAATCTTCTCTGTACCCTCTCTAGTGTAATAACATCCTTCCTATAATATGGAGATCAGAACTGCATGTGGCCTAACCAGCATTTTATATAGAACCACCTTCCTGTTTTATTCAATGCCTCAGCTAATAAGGCAAGTATCCCATGAGCCTTCTTAACCACATAATCTACTTGCCCTGCTGCCTCAGGGATCTGTGGATATGCACATTGAGGTCCCTGTAATCTTTAATCCTTTCCAGGGTTTTATCATTCATGGTATAATCCCTGGCCTTGTAAGTCCTCCCCAATTGCATTACTTCACTCTTATCTAGGTTGAATTCTATCTTCCAGTGCTCTGCCCAGCTGACCAGTCTGCTGTTATCCTCCGGTTTATGGCTATCCTTCTCATATTTAACACCCTACCATTATTTGTGTCATCCTTGAATTCTTGATCATGCTATTTACATTTAAGTCTAAATTATTAATCTGCACAACAAACAGCAAGGGCCCCAAGACTGAGCCTTATGGAACCCCAATGGAAACAAGCTTCCAGTCTCAGACTGTATCCCCTATCATCACACTCTGCTTCTTGATTCACAACCAGTTTTAGATCCAGCATGCTACTTTTCCTTGGATCCCGTAGCCTCATCCTTTCTTGGCCAGTCATCCTTGAGGGAAGTTAGCAATAGCCTTGCCAGATCACATCAAATGAATTACCCTCATCAGCACTCCTGGTCCCCTCCTCAAAAGAATTGATCAAATTTGTCGAACAAATGGATGCTGACTACCCCTGATTAATTAATGTCTCTCCAAGTGCTGATTCTCCCCATCAGAATTCTTTCTAATAACCTTGTCACAATTGAGGTTGAGCTGACTAACCTGTAATTTCTTGGATTATCCCTCCCTACCTTTTATAATATTTGGACAATGTTAGTAGTCCTCCAGTCATCTGGCATTGTACGGTAATAGAGGATTTAAAAATTACTGCCAGGGTTCCTGGATATTTCCTCCCTTGCTTCCCTCAACAGTCTAGGATACATCTCATCCTAGCTACAGATTTATCCACTTCTAAGGCTGCTAAACTCACTAGTACCCCCGATTTTCCCTGTCAATTTTCTTAATATTTTACAATCTTCCACCCGGATGCCTATCTCTGCATCTTACACTTCCACGTACATATTATTTCGGTTGTCACTAATGGGTCTTTATTTTCTCTAGTTATTCTCTTACTCTTTATAAGTTTATATAAAACTCTTCGGATTTCCTTTATTCTGCCAATGCTTTCTCATGTACTTTTTTTTGCTTTTCTAATTTCCTTTGTAAGTTTCCCCTGTACTTCTTTTCTCCCTATGGACTGTGCGTAATGAGCCCTTGGTATCTGCAAGAAGCTGAACTAAGCTTTATGTCCCTTGATAGCCAGGGTTCTCCAGTTTTGCTCCCATCTTTGACTTTACAGTAATATATTTCCACCTTGAAAATCTCCCACAGTTCTGACACAGTTTCATCTGCATGTGGCTGCTCCATTCGAACCAAATTTTATCTTCTCTTTGTAAAATTAGCCTTTCTCCAGTTTAATTCATATCTTTTTCTGTAAGTATCCTAAATTTAACCGGGTTATGGCCACCATCTCCAAAATACTCCCCTCCTACTGATATACCCTCCATTTGCATGGGCTCATTTCTGAGTATTAGACCCAGAACTGCCTCCTCCTTTGTTGGGCTTTCTATGTGGTGGCTGGAAAAGTTCTTTCAGATGAGATTTAAGAACTTTGTTCTCTCCCTACCTTACACATTAGAACTATCGAATTTAATGTTTGGGTGGTTAAAATCCTCTAGTATTACTGCCTTATTGTGCTTACACTGCTTTGGAATTTAATTCCATTTTTGATTCTCGATCTCACCCTGAGTATTTGGAAGGCTATAGTATATACCCAAGATTGTGTTTGCCTCTTTTGTATTTCTTACTTCTACCCAAATGGCCCCATTTGATTGTCCTTTGAAGACATTACTGCTATGATTGATTCCCTGATCAATATTGTGACATTCCTTCTCTTCTACCCACCACTGTTTCTCATCTGAATATCCTTTAATCAGAAATTTTAAGCTGCAATCCTGACAGTGTTTCAGCATAGTCTTTACATTAGCTATGATATCATTCTCCTACATGTCTGTCTGTGCCTTCAGCTCATCTATCTCATTCCTCAGGCTGCTTACATTAAAATATATTAGATATTGCCTTGCTAAACTCACTTCTTTCTTATCTAGATTATGTTTATACTGCCTTCCAGTCTCACTTATTCGTGTTTAAACTTCTAATTCCATCTCAGCTTCTCTCCCCTCTGAAGTACTTGTCAGGATTTCAGTCCCTGTCACTCTAGTTTAAGTTGACTTCAAAAGCGTTGTCAAACTTCATCCGTTCCTTTTCAAATTTAATATGTATAACTTGTGCAATTCCCATTTCTGCTAGAAACAATCCCAAGAACTCAGGAACCTAAAGCTCTCCCTCTTGTACTACCTCTCCAGTCACACATTAACCTACTCTTTCATTCTATTCTTACACTCACTTCTGCCTGACATCAGGGGTAACCTGTATCCTTTGAAGTCCTGCTTTCAGATTTCCTACCTACATCCCTAAAGTTAGCTTGTAGTACCTAATTTCTCTTTCTTTCTATGTCATTGGTGCTAACGTGGACCACAACCTCCAACTGTTCACCCTCCCCCTTCAGAATTCCCTATAGACATTCAGTGTTATCCTTGACCTTGGCACCTGAAGGCAACAAGGCATCCTTGGAGACATGCCCATGGTTGCAGAACCACCTATCTACTCCTCTCATGAATGGATCTCCTACCAGGATTGCTCTTCCACTCTTATTCCTTCCTGTCTCCACCACCACCACACCTCCACCCTAAAAGCAGCTGGCCACCCACAGAGCTGAGGCCTTGGCTGTGGCCGGAGTCCACAGAGGAATTGTTACTCTCAATAATTTCAGGGCTGAAAATGGTTTACAAGCGAGATGCCCACCGGGGAATTTCCTCACTACATGCCTGGTCCCTTTCTTCTGACCTGCTCTGCCTGAACTTTGTTAAACTGTAGGTGACCACGTACTGAAACATGCTGACCATGAAGCTGTCAGCCTCCTGAATCCACCATAGTGTTTCCCAGCTGCCATTCAAGTTCCAAAACCCGGGAGCTCAAGCTGCTGCAGGTGGAGGCACCTCCCACTCACTATCAGGAACATTTAGGAATTTTCACGTAGTGCGGGATATGCAAGTGGGCGTGTGTTCCCCAACCATACCTTAACTAAACAGAATGTGGGTGGACCCTTTCTTTTATTTTACCCTTACTCATAGAAAAATGTTATTCATGCTTCTGTCCTGAGTCCAACTCAGGTGTGCTGCCAGTCTGTCTGCTTCTCTGCAAAGGTCGCTATCTTGCCTGCTTTTCTTAGTGATGCTGATTGCTTGACACAGAATTGTCACATTAACTGAGATGCTGACTGCCTGTCATAGGATCCTCACCTCACTCACTCTTCTCCCATGAGAGGTGTGAAAGTAGAGAAGAATGAATGGGAGATGGGGAAAGGCTGCATTCAGCTTCATGGACCTGTCCCTGGAGGTGATGATGTAAGCAGCCAGGGCACAGGGGAGGTTCTTTTTTTGTTCCAGTGGATGAAAGGCTGAGGTCAGGCAGCTTCATCAAGTGAGTCTGACTAGATGTGGCTGATGTGAGAAGTCAGTGTGGGAAGCAATGGATGTGGATCCCATGCAGAGGGTAATTCAGTTACCTCTTGAGATCTGGCAAAGTGAGTATCATGTAACTCTCAGTTTACAGCCTTCACTCTCACCATCTCAGGGGTATTCTGAGGCACAAAATTTGCCATTTCAGAAGATTGGTTCCCATGGTCTACCTTAACTCTCCATCTCCCAATATGGAACCGTTGCATACCCACAACGTAGACCCCGTAATGTAGTGACTTGGAATGGAAAAATGTCACAAAAATTTCAGCAACAGGTGAAGTTAGCTTTTCCACATGGCTACTTTGCAGTGAACAGACAACTGGTATTCTCCACTAACAAAAATAATGTTCTGCCAACCTCACAAATGAATAATTTGGTATATGAGTTTCAGAGCTAATGTGATGTTAGGTATGTGGGCCATATGTCCCATTGACTGGTGGATGGTATTAAACAGCACATAACCTTGACTGTCTGCAGTGTGCAGCATACTGAATGTGCTCAACCAGCCTGTACTTACACACCTCAGAACACTGTGTCCAACATTAAATGTGTTTCTGCTATTGGACAGCATTGACTAAATAATCTTGAGCGTGCAAAGAATTGTACTAAAAACTAGTTCTAAGTTATCAGTCAAGCTCACAATGTGATTCATTTGTATGTGCTAGAAACTACATTTATTCATACACATCAGCCCTGTTCTTTGCAGACAAAAGGAGTATGTGCACAAATTGCATCTTTTGCACTGAGTAAAGCGGTTTGGAGACCGCCAATATCTGCAACATGCTCATAGCGACGCTGTTACTCATGAGACTTGATCCATCTGGTTTAAAAGTAATTGGTCAACCAAGACAGTTAACAGTTCCTCCACCGTCTTCATGCCAACTATAGTTCAGCAACTCTACATCCTCTTCTTGTACTGTAAAAATTGTTGCTTCCTTCTAAAACTTTTATCTCGTACATTGTCCTCATAGGTGCAAGATGAAAAGCTTCGACTTCATGTCTCCTTTTAACAACGCCTGCAACCTCTCAACTTATGTGCCTCCCTCCGAAGGAAAAACCATAGTCTGAATAATCCTAACTCACTCATTTTCTCACGGCAAGAAAAAGAGTCTATAACTCCTGGGTGAGGTAATGAAGTAGGGCAGGCATTGGTCATCCTGACAGCAGTGACATAGGGGATTCTGGAAGCCAGCACGGTGGGAGCAGTACAGACTGTGACTTATGAGAGAAGGTAATGGTACCAAAACGAAGGTTGATGCACTGGCACTGAGCTGTCACACATGTTATCCCCAAATGTAGCACTAATGAATGTATTTTATCTCTCACTAGGCCATTTCTGGAGGCACACCAAGAGATGAAGAACAATGCATTGCAGTACTTAGAAGAGGAATATCCATCCGATGAAGCAGTGCCCTATGACTTATGAACACCTTCCATCAGCTCGGATACACTCTCCTGTTTCCCTCAGTGGTGCCTGAGTCACAGATAGAATGGCTGGCACAAGGTGTGGAGCACTTCACATGTGAACAAGATCTGTAGGCAGGGAGAATAGGGCAGATTCGCTATCAGGGGCTTGAGGACATCAACAGATGTCATTTAGACACAGATGCTGAGCCTCAGCTGTTTTACACTACATGAGTACTTAAAGGAAATGTGTGGCTGTCTGTCAGAATTTGCATTGCTCAACCTCATGCTAAAGTCTATCACTGCAACGTATTTGACATTTGAGTACATGACTGCCCCCATTGAACAAATGGCCACATTCATGGAGAGTCTGATATAATACATCAATCAATGCATGTATGTGCATAACAATGTATTGTATAGAATGGTAGTGAAGTTGAGAATCTATGATCGAATAATTGCCTTACCGGTTAAATATTGCTTTCAAAAGCAGCTCTTCTGCTGTTGATTAGCAGAGATATGCACATTATTCCTGTTTTGGGGACCCTGGTATGAATCCCACCATGTCAGATTGTGAAGTTTGAATTCAATAAAATCTGGACGAAGAGTCTGGCAATGATCGTGAAACTATTGTCAATTGTCAGAAAAACCAGTCTGGTTCACAAATTTCCTTTAACGAAGAAAACTGTCATCCTTACCTGGTCTGGCCTACATGTGACTCCAGACCTAGTAATATGGTTGATTCTTAACTGCACTCTGGGCAGTTAGGGATAGGTAATAAATGCTGGTCTGGACAGTGCATCCCGTTAACAAATGTAAAAAACAATTCCTGAGAGAGAAGAGATAGGCAAGAACAATTAAAGTGGGGCCTTTCTTCAGTTGCTTCAGTGGCCTTGGCCCCTCTGGAAGAGCCACAAATAATGCATTCTATTTTCATAATCACAGAATCAGAATTATTACAGTGCACAAGGAGGCCATTTGGCCTACGCTGCCTGCACCACCTCTATTATCTAGGGCCAATCTCCTTCCTTTTCCCCACAACTCTGCATACTGTTACCATTCAAAAACCATCTAATACCCTCTTTAATGCCTCAATTGAACCTGCCTCCAACACATTCCCAGGGAGTGCATTTCATGCCCTAACTACTCTCTGTGCAATAAAGCTTTTCCTTACATGACCCTTGCTTCATTTGCACATCAGATTAACTCTATGACCTCTCATTCTCATTCTTTTACAAGCAGAAATAGCTTTGACCTATCTACTCTGTCCAGACAGCTCATGATTTTCAAAACCTTAATCAGATCTTCTCTCAGCCGCCTTCTCTCCAGGGAGAACAGTTTCAACTTCTTCAATCTATCCTCATAGCTGAAGTTTCTCATTCTTGGAACCATTCTAATAAATTGCTTCTGTACTTTCTCCAATGCATTCAAATCTTTTCTACAATGTGGCACCCACAACTATACACAATAATTCAGCTGAGGTCTAACAGTTGTCTTGTACAAGTTCAACATAATGCCCTTGCTGTTGTACAATCAATAAAGCTGAGGATACCATGTGTTTTACTTACTGCTCTTTGTCGATCCTGCCACCTTCAATGATTTGTGCACATGTACACCCAGATCCCTCTGTTCCTGCAACACTTTAAAATTGTACCCCTATTTGATAATGTTTTTTGGTATTCTGACCAATGTGCATCATTTCACACTTCTCTGCATTGAAGCCTATCTGCCACCTATCCACGTATTCCACCAACTTGTGAATGTCTTTTGGAGTTCACACTGTCTCTCACAGTTTACCATTTGTCCAAGTTTAATGTTATCTGCAAACTTTGAAATTGTCCCTCTGCACACCAAAATTCGGATCATTTATATATCTCAGGAAAAACAAGGATCCCAATACTGACCTCTGGGAACTCCACTACAAACCTTCCTCTACCTTAAAAAAGGGATATAGAATAAAGCAGAGCAAGATAACGGACAAAGACTCATCCCTCCCAGACATGCTCACGCTTTCTATGCTCGGTTCGAGCAGAATGTCAGCGGCGCGGTGTCACCTGCCCCGACAGCCCCAGACACACTTGTTCCCACTGTCACCGCTGCAGATGTCGGATCGGTCTTCCTGGGAGTCCCTGGCTGTGCACTTAGATCCTGTGTGGACCAGCTGACAGAGGTATTCACTGACATCTTCAACCTCTCCCTCCTACAAGCCAAAGTCCCCATCTGCTTCAAAAAGACCACCATCACCCCACACCTAAGAAAGCACGTGTAATGTGCCTTAATGACTACCACCCAGTGGCTCTGACCTCCTTAATCATGAAGTGCTTTGAGAAGCTGGTCATGGCCCACATCAACTCTAGTCTCCCAGCCTGCCTCAGTCCCCTGCAATTTGCCTACAGACGTAACAGGTCCACAGTAGATGCCATTTCCCTAGCCCTGCATTTATCCTTGGAACATCTGGACACCCAGGTCAGACTCCTGATCATTGACCACAGCTCCGTCTTTATCCCGTCCAGACTGATCCCAAAACTGCGAGATCTAGGTCTTGGTTCCACCCTGTGCAACTGGATCCTCAGCTTCCTGACTCATAGAACGCAATCAGTGAAGATAGACAACTGCTCCTTGTCCACAATAACACTCAACACTGGAGCCCCCAAGGATGAGTTCTCAGCCCCCTACTGTACTTCCTGTACATCAACAGCAGTGTTGCCAAAATCTGAACAAACACCATCTACAAGTTTGCTGATGATGCCACAGTGCCAAAATGAATATCAAACAATGACAAGTCAGAATTCAGGAAGGAGATGGAGGGCTTGGTGACATGGTGCAATGATAACAACCTCTCTCTCAATGTCGGCAAAACTAAAGAACTGATCATTGACTTCAGAAAGAAAAGAGGAGAACATGCTCCCATCTACATTAACGGAGAAAAAGTTGTGAAGGTTGAGAATGTCAAGTTCCTGGGAGTGACAATGACCAACAATCTATTCTCGACTTCCCATGTAGATTCAATGACCAAGAAGGCACAATAACACCTCTCCTTCCTCAAGCAGCTTGGGAGATTTGGCATATCTGTAAGGACCCTCACCAACTTTTACAGATGCACCGTAGAAAGCATACTGTCCTGGTGCATAACAGCCTGGTACAGCACTGCTCTGCCAAAAACCTTAAGAAACTACAGAAGGTTGAGTGCATGGCCTAGACCATTACAGGAGCCAACCTACCATCATGGACTCCATTTACATATACCGTTGCCGTGGAAGGGCTGTCAATATCATCAAAGACCCATCGCACCCTAGTAATGCTCTCCTGCAACCTCTTCCGTCAGGCAAAAGATACTGAAGCTTGAACACATGCACCAGCAGGTTCAAGAACAACTTCCTCCCTGCCATTACTAGACTGATGAATGGACTCTCTAACTTCAAGTCATGTCGATTTTGTTAATGTTGATCTTGTCTAGCACACTTCCTGTCAGCAAAACCGGTATGTCTTACTCTGTCCAAGTGTTTTTTCACCTTGTGATCTGTATATTGTTGCTTACTATGACCTGCCTGTACTGCTCTCAAACAAAGCTTTTCACTGTACTTAGGTACACATGACAATAAATAAACCAAATCAAATGTTTGTTGATCATTACTCTCTGTTTTCTATCATTCAAGTCGATTTTGTATCCGCATTACAAATTTGTACCATGACTTACAACTTTCTTCATCAGTCAGCTGAGAGGCACTCTATCAAAGCCTTCTGGAAATCCATATATACAATGTCAAAAGCATTACTCCTAACAACCCTTTCCATCACCTCTTCATAACAAAACTCCAACCAGTTAATTAAACATGATTTCCCCTTTAGAAATTCATGTTGACTGTTCTTAATCAGGTCACCTTTTTCCATGTTCCCCATTACTGATGTTAAACTAATTGGTCTATAATTGCCAGGATTAGCCTTACAACCTTTTTTGAACAATGCTTTTATGTTGACAATTCTCCAGTGTTCTGGCCCCTTCCCCAAATCCGGGGAAGACTGAACACATGGCCAGTTCCTCCGGACTTGTACCCTCACTTCCTTCAGAATCTTTGAATGCATTTCATTTGGTCTCCAAGCCTCATTAATTTTCAAGTTGCAGCAGTCTATCCAAGACTTTTCCCTTAATAATCTTGAGCCATTCTAGTGACAGATTTTCTGAAACCTGTAGCCATGGCCTTAGCATCATTGTCCTGTTTTGTAAAGACAGATTCAAAGTATTCATTTAATACCCCAGCCATGCTATGAGTGTTTTTGATGCGGTTACTAATTGTCCAGCTACCTGCCCTTGGTCTAATGCTTGCTTACTGTTATTTATCATTCTCTATCTTCTTAAAACTATTGCTATCACAACTTTCTTAACCCTGGACTACTCTGCCTTTCTAACTACCACCTGATTTCTTGTTTTCCATTCCTCTTAAGATTATGAAATCTTCTCTGTTCTTAAGCTCTGTCTGAACACTTTCAGTGTGGCTTTGGTCCTGCATACAGCACTGAAACCACCCAAGTCAACAACACCAATGGTCTTTGGTGCAACCACAATTAAAAACTACTTATTTTTCTCTTTAGCCTTTCCTCAGACTTAACTTCAACCTTTAAGTTGGATGCCCATTCTAACCTCTGCCATTTTGGTTCCTATGAATGTACAACAATGATGGATATAAAAAGATATACTTGATTAACTAGCCTGTTGGTGCACAGCAGCAATATCTTAATCACCGTACACCCACTTTTGAAATACACATTGACTCCTGGCAGGGTGAGAAACCAGATAGAACCCAGATCCAAAAGGGGAAAAAATCTGAACTTCTTTTGCCACTTCTGGTGATCAGTATTCATCTAAAAGACAATTCTAGCCCTGGTTGATGAGGTATGACGTGACCTCTGACTCAGCCGGGAGCAACTCCCAAAGGAATTCACTAAATTACTGTTGAGTGCACAAGGTAGCAGCCAGTATTCTCTGGAAAGGCCATTGGTTAGATGCCAGTAGGCAATGTCCCCTGTAATTATTTTTAACTGTGCACGACCTTTGATTTCTGTGTGCGCAACCTTTATTTCTTTCTTGTACAGTTGCACATGCATGATAACTTAAAGAGCCCTACTTGGAAACCTCAGGGTTCGTGCACATCTGGGCAGCTTAGACAGAAAACTAACGAATTCTGGCCTTACATAACTTGAAAGTATGGAGCTAACTTATCTGCTTAAAGTAAAATCTTTACAAAACGTAATTCACCCCTCCAGCTTATAAACCTTGATCAAATAGTTTAGAAAAATACTTTAGAAAAAAAATCCATTTTTATACTCTCTATTAACTCTTGGCCTAGATCTTCTAGCTAGAGGGTAGTCTTTGCAGCTGTGCAGTCTGAAAGATGTGCCATGGGACCTTTCAGAAATCCTGATGCATTGTTAATTGCCTTGGAAGTTTAAAATTATTCTGCATTTAAAACCCTCCAAAACAATCTCTATTGTTGAGCTAGAGACAGTTTGGACAGTTTTGGCTTATTTACCTGAATAATTACCTATGAAAAGTGTGAGGAATTGAAACTGACTCTGACTCCTGGGTAGATATAAAATGTACCTCCTTCCCCAGCTCCCCCATCCCTCCCCCATTCAGCCCCATGACTACCCTTGTCTTGACCTACCCTATGCCCCTTACCCATCTACTTGCCACTCTAGCTTCTCACTCACCTGCCACCCCACTCCATTATCTGTCACCCACCCATTCACTAACCCACCTGCCACCTTACCCCTTCACGTACCACACTATCATCCAAATACTGTACTCCCTCACCCACCTACCTGCCATCCAAACTCATCTAACCATCTGCCATCCTACTCCCCCTCACACACCTATCTTCCACCCTACTCCCCCTCACTGACCACCTTCCACCCTACTCTTCCTCACTGACCACCTGCCACCCTACTCCCTCTCACAAACCAACCTGCCACCCTACTCCCTCACTCACACATCTTCTCCTTGTAGCTCGCCAAAGCGCTTTTGAATCTTTAAGTCCCAGAATATAGAAGTTATTGCTGTAAAATATAGACATGGATTGGCCAACAATATTGATCTTGCGCTGCACTGGAAGACTCTGAAAATCAGGCACATTCCACATTTCTCAAATCAGAAATTCAGACTAGAAACACAAAGGCCTAGGGCAGGGTGAGTGACAATCTGATACTGATTTGCCACTGTTTAGAAGATTTGGTACTATATGTTCAGAAAAATTATGTATGTATATTTC